TTCTTCTTCTTCTTCTTCTTCTTCTTCTTCTTCTTCTTCTTCTTCTTCTTCTTCTTCTTCTTCTTCTTTCTTCTTCTTTCTTCTTTCTTCTTCTTCCTCCTCCTTTTTCCTTTTTTTTTTTTTCTTGGTTTTGGGTTTTTTTCTTTTTTTTTTTCAGGGTCCAGACACCAATCCTAAGGGGTCATCCCTAAACACATGCAAATAAGGGGCAACACTAATTAGACTCCATAGGTTGTGTATGCACACACACACACACACACACACACACACACACACACACACACACACACACACACTCATTCACAAATAAATACAGAAGAAAGTCGTAAGTGTGAGGGTGTAGTTGGGGGTAATCAGGAGGTGGAAGAGGGAGAGAAGGATATAAATACAGTCTATGTATGTATGAAATTTTCAAAAGGAAGTTAATATTGAATTGATGAAAAAAGTTTGGAATAGTAAAATGATAAAAGTTCAACAGGTGAAGTTATTGAAAGAAGAAATGAGTAAAAGTTGAATTCCACACATGCACAAATTGGTGTGTCCTTACTTGAGGGAACTTTAGTATTCAAATAATACACATTTTTGTTAGTGCTAGAGATTGAACACAAGGCCTTGCTCACGCTAGCCATTTACTTTGCAATTGAGGTCTATTTCCCAGTCGTTTATTTTTTGAGACAGAGCCTTGTTCTGGCATTCAGGCTGGCTTTGAACTTACATGTAACCTAGGGTGTGGTCTTAGACTTAAGATCCTTCTGCCTTTGCCTTCCAAATATTAGGATTACAGGTATGTGCCACCATGCCTGGCTGGGGTTGGTAATCTTTTAAGACGTCTGGGATTTTGTTACCATTTTTTTTTTTTTTTTTTTTTAGACAGGGTTTTTCTATGTAGCCCTGGTTGTCATGGAACTAACTCTGTAGACCAGACTGTACTCAAACTCATTGAAATCCGCCTGCCTCTGCCTCCCTAGTGCTGGGATTAAAGGTGTGCATCATCACCACCTGGCCTATTTTGTTTTTTAAACAAGGTTTTGAGTGTGTAGCCCAGACTGGCCTCAATCTTTCAGCAGTCCTCCCGACTCAGACGCTAGCATGCTGGAGTTAGAGACCTGTGATACCAATCCTATTTTTTATTAAAAGAAATATATTTAGATTTGCAAGTTAAAATATTATTATTGATCTATCTACAACACAACTCCTGCACCTAAGGCTTAGGGAGCATTGTGGAAGAAGGCACAGAAAGATTGTAGAGCCAGGGGACCAAGACATGTCCTGTGTAATTATGTCACTTAGAAATGACAAGGAAGCTTTATCTGTATAACTCAACCATATGGCTGCTGAAATAAGACCTGAAGAAGTACACTACTGAGAGACATCCTAAGATGGAGGGGTATCTCATGGCCCCTAGCCACAGACAAAGAACACAGGCAATTAAGGGATAGGTAGGATAAATAGTCTTCCCCAGGGATGATCCCCTAAATGATTATCCAGTACTAAGTGGTTAGCCTGAAATCATATCTATCTATCTCTCTATCTATCTCTCTATCTATCTCTCTATCTATCTATCTATCTATCTATCTATCTATCTATCTATCTATCATCTATCTATCTACCTATGTATCTATCTACACACAACACTAAATGGACTGAGCAGCTTGTATTTATATATATATAGGTATTTTTTTATATATGTGACAATAACAGAAAAAAACCAAAAAACTGTGGTTTCCAGGGTGGTAGGGAGGCACAGGAGAGATCAGAGGGAGGAAATGGCAGAAGGAAATAATGTAATTATATCTTAATTTAAAAATAAAAAAGAGGAAAATATATCTTTATAGTGACGTTAAATTTATTTATTTATTTATTTTGAGGCCAAGTTTCACTATGTAGGTCTGATTGGCCTGGAACTTGCTTTGTAGACCAGGCTTGCCTCAGCCTCATAGAGATCCTCTTGCCTCTGTCTCCAAAGTGCTTCGATAAAAAGTGTGCACCACCATGCCTGGCTTTTAAATTGCATTTTTATGACATATGCAAAGATGTATATAAAACTCACAGTAAAAGATTTATTGTAGCTTAAGGAATATTTGTAAGTTTTAAAATAAGGAAGACCAAAATGAAAAACTGATATCTAATGATTGATTATTGGGTAACTGTAATACAACTAACTACACAGTCGTGAAAAATCACTTTCTAGAGTAATGCTTAAAGTGGAAATAGCAAATGGAAGATGCTGGGAAATAATATGTGTGGCATTTCCCATTGAGGGGGATGAAGCTCACAAATTAAGCCTGTTTAAGGATATAACAATATCCTACCACTATTAATACTGGTTGTAGTGGTGTGTGGATGCTGCCTTTGGTCTTTCTATTTAGTTTTCTGTGTGTGTGTGATCTTTATTTTGTGTTTCAAATTTGAGATTCTCCTGCCTCATCTTCCCCAGTGCATAAGCAATCATCATGTCTAAAATATTCAGGATTAAAACAAAGTTAATAGATTTTAATCATGTGTTTTGAAAAATAGTTCTGGGACAACTGTTTCATAATGGACTAAGTGTGGAAAACTGTTCATTGAGAAAACTGGATGATTGGGCTGAGAAGGTGGCTCAGTGAGTATAATTTTTGCTGCGTGAACATGAGGACCTGAATTCAAATTTCTAACACCCACATTGAAACTAGTTGACACTGTATATGCCTGGAAGGTCAGTGCTGGAGGCAGGGCAGGAGATCCTTGTTTTTGTTGGCCAGTGAGCCTACCCAAAAATGGTGGAGCCTCTTGCTTCCACATGTACACACACACACACACACACACACACACACACACACACACACACACGCACGCGTGCATACATACTTGCAGAGGGAAGAAAGGAGAGAGGTAGAGAGATCAGATGGTTGATGATACATCATTTAAATAAATCATTCTTCAGATGAATTAGTTAATAGTCATTAGTTAGTAGAACTGATGTGTTAGGCTTGAACTAGCCTAGTGGATTCTAAAACAGTAGTACCTTGTACTTGGAGTATAGTATTTATATGCACATGCAAGAGCATGTATGTTCCTTTTTCCTCTTTCTTTTTCTTACCTTGTTTTGAAACAAGATCTAATTATATAGCCCAAGTTGGCTTCAAACTTGCAATCCTTCTGCCTCAGCCTCTGTAGTGCTGGGATTATAGATGTGCACTAACCACTGTACTCTATTTTTTTTTCCCAAGACATGGTTTCTCTGTGTAGCTTTGTGCCCTTTCCTGGAACTCACTTGGTAGTCCAGGCTGGCTTCGAACTCACAGAGATCTGCCTGGCTCTGCCTCCCAAGTGCTAAGATTAAATGTGTGCACCACCACCGCCCAGCATGTACTCTTATTTTATAACAATTTTATTGATATATAACATGTAATTCATCCATTTAAAGCGTAGGATTCAGTGGCTTTTCACAGCCTATTCAGAGTTATGCATACATCACTCATATAATCAATTTCAGAATATGTTTGTTATCTAAAAAGAGGCCTTGTACCTGTTCGCCATAATCTTCCATCTGCTCACCTAGTCAGCAATCATTTTGCTGCCTGTCTCAATGTCTCTGTGAATATTTGATGAAAATAGAATCTTTTTTTTTTTTTTTTTTT